TCAATATGTCATTGAAATTTGTATTGTTAAACTACACTCAATCAAACAGAGCCATGGTATTTTATCATGAAAAACGATTGTTACTCTCGTTTGGTACAGTTTGGTTCAGTGTTTTCTACACTTGAATTGTCTCAAATTATTTCCAAATTTTCCTGTACAGGATTCATGGTACCAGTCTTGACTTTTTGTGCATTTAATCCAGTCCTCATCGTCACTGTAGTCGTCAAAATAGTAACCGTTGCAAAATGCACAATATAAGCTACTATCTTTTTCGTTTTCTTTGTCATCTGCGCTTTCTTTTTCAAGAGGTGCTTTTTAAGATTTTGCACTAGTTGTCTTCTTCGTTGTTTGTTCAGAACATTTTGGCTTTGTTAGCAAATTAATTAGTTTTTCTTTTCTCTTCTCATCTCGATTGCGTCTTTTTTCTTCCTTTTCCGTTTCCTTCTGTTCCTTCATTTTTATTTTCTCTTTCATTTCGATGAGGTAGTTCGTGTCAGTTAACGGCCTTAGCTTGCTGTTGTTATTCTTTTAGTTTTTTCTTTGGTTGATTTTTCTTCACTTCCGGAATTACTAAAATTTCATCAAAATTCTCCCGTTCAGAGTTAGTATACGTAACTATATTTACTGTCATTTCTGGTTGGTTTCTAATAGCGTTGATCACTGGATATGCTGGACGATCGGGTACTGCATGAACATCAGCGACAACAGCGATGGTGTTTATCTGTGTTTCTGCAAATTCATTTGGGGTAGATTGTGGCGTTTCAACCTGGCATGGGTGTACTATGGTCTGTATTTTCACTTACTGGTATGTCCTCCGTTTGTGGTGACGTAGTATCTAGTACAGATGTTTGAGACGGTCCATACGCTTCTGCTGGTATGACTCTTTGATTAAAGGGATAAATTCCAATAGAACGAAAACCGCTAAAAATGTTAACCATATTCATTGAAGATTGAAATGCGGTATTAAATAGTCCACAAAAGTCATACCTTGTTACTTGTCTACTTGGATGGTCTCTCATAAATTTCTGACATTGTTTGTTGCAACTTGTCTTCATTGGTTCGAAAATAAGGCTGTAGCCAGTGTGTTATATGTGGGGGGAGACAAAACATTTCAATCTGGTTCTGTTTTGCTTTCTCTAAAGTATCAAAATTCAGGTGTGATGAATGACCATCAAGTATCAAAAGAACGGGTCTGGCTGGTGGCAATTTTTTCCAGAAGATGTTGGTGAACCACTTGTCAAATAGATCACTGTCTATAATTGAGGATTTGCTACATCTTAATTCTGAGCCAGGTGGTGTGTTTACTTTCAGAGCTTCACTTACCCGCTGCCCTTTAAAGATTATCATAGGCGGTAAAACCCGTGCCTCAGCACTGACACAACAGAGTACTGTTACATTTTCACCCCTTTCTCCGCTTGTTTTTGCATATACCCCTCTTTTCCCTCTTTTCCCGACAATCTTTTCTGGGTTGTGTACGGTGCTTATTCCCGATTCATCTGCATTAAATAGTTGTTGTGGTTTGTCTTTAACACCTAAAGATTCCATAACGGATCCTAGTTTTTCCAAATAAGTAGCAACAACGGATGGGTTTAGCAGAGATGATCTCGCCGCACTCAATCCTTCTGGCTTCCTAACTGACAAAATTGGATGTCTTCAGAGAAGCCTATCCACCAATCATATCCAGGGGACTTCTTCTCTTCACTGAAGCCATTTATCCATAGTTTTTGTGCCATCTGGTATGCTAGTTTCCTAATGTCAATCACTCTCAGCCCAAAACCCCGTTCTTCCATTTTCAAGATATAGCCGACTAAAATATTTTCTTGGGTTCTGTTCAAGGTTGGTGGTTTTGTTGGAGGTGCTGTAATGTCTTCCATATTGAGTCTCCCTCTAAGCGTCGACCTTGGAACATTATATAAAACCGATGCCTTCTTTTTTGCCATGCCTCCTCTTACTGCCAAAATTGTATTTTCCATGGGTGCCATGCTTCATTGTCCCTGTTTTGATGTCACGCCTTTCTTTTTCCTTGCCATATGTATTTTCTGAAAAAACAGAATAGATCAATTTATATACTACATGTAGTAAAAAGTTATTTAATATCTATTGTATATTTTAACATCATTTACATATAAAAGGTATCACTGTTCTTTTATCCTTAAGGCTCATTTTTTAAAAGGACCAATAGGCCTTCTGATAGTCTATAATACAATCTGTTTTAATGTATGCACATAAATAGTTTTCACCATGATAAAGAGATGATAACAGTTTTTTTTTTTTTTTTTTATCAAATCCAGTTATTTAATTTTGAAAATTTGGAAACGAGCATTGGCGAGATTCTAGATTATCTAAATTAACTAAATTTCGTAATGACAAACGTGAATACAGAGGTAATACTTTTCAACATACATGTATGTAACTTGTTGAATAACTTTGAGATGACGACACATGCGTCGAGTTCAAGAATTTACAGGTTCTCAAGCTGTGGCAACATTATGAGAAATATTTAATTCTTCATCTTTTTTACTTACAAGCTATGTCGTTAATATTCCGAAGTTTGTCAGCCAGGTAGTAAAATGATGCAATAATGTCTGTTTTCATGTGCAAATCAACCCGATAAAAAGATGGTTATAATAATTAATTATATTGAAGAATACCTAAGGAATTTCCAATTACTTGAATTAGTCATTAGTTTTGAAAACCATGTAAATATCGGTACAACTGTGTATAAATATACTGTCTGTTCAATTTTGTTTTTTGTTGATTTTTTATTGTTTTTTTTTCTTGGAAAATTATTGTCAAAAGCAGGGGGCTTTGTTGTGACACCCCTGTGTGTTTATGTTGTTAATTGCCACATTTATCTACAGGTTCTCCGTAAAAAAAACCAATAAAAAACAGACAAGCTTAGGCCGTCAGTAGATCTACACGTACTTGCCGACATATTCTGAATGTAAAATATGTGTTAACACATCTTATTATGAAATAAAGAATAATGAAATCAAAGACATATACTTTTATCAGTCATTTTGGCATTCACTTTGTTGTCAACTAGTTGATTACACACACGAATATTGCTGTGGCGACTAACCCAATCCACATGGGGTAACTCGCCACCTTTTGTATTTGCACGTTTTCTGTATTCACCGATATGAAATGGCACACCTGGGGTTTAAAATCATATAATGTAGATGTCGAAGACTTCGCTTGTCATTGATTTGATCACATAGAAGTTATTTTACGTTTTTTCGCAAGTAAAACATTTGGTTCTCATTGAAGTAATTAATTTCCATTACACCATGACGTCACAAGTCACAAAAATGGCGGAGCTTTCAGCAAATCATGACCACGGTTGCATGAAGTTTTCTACATTATCTCACCACACATCACTAGAATGTTGCATATTTAAATAAATACAAACCATATCATTATATTTATGCCATTTTGTTTGTGTTTAATTATAAATTTTGTTAAAAAATATGATATTGGTGCCATCCCCCTTTTTTTTGCGGGAATATCTGAGACTGTGATCCATAAGCACGTGAAATTAGATTAAAAATTGTAAGATTTTATTTTCATAGCTTGCCATTAATCTTATTTTTGACATGTGCTTACACTGTTTTTGTGTTTTAGCACAATTTTCCAAAACTTGGAGTATTTAACTTTCAGTAATCAATCCGGAACTACGCCGTTTCAACATTCAAGGGAGTAAATATGCGGTTTCAAAATATGCTGAAATGTGGCGCATTTTCTGTCTTATACTATTTTTCCAAAGAATAAAATGCACTTACCCGTGAAAGTTTCTACTTCCAATATCTTGACTCAAATGAGCTTGATGACGACAGAGACGCGATGACGTAAATGACGGATGTTGTAACGTTCAGACGTAATCAACTTTATACAAAGAGAGACAACTCAAATATAAATAAATGACAGAGATGTAAAAGGTGGCGAGTTACCCTTTATGGCGACTTACCCCACTTTCCTCTACATGTAATAAGTAAGTCAATGTTAATGAGTTTCTGAGCTGCAATATTTAAACCAGTGCCTTAACTGTTTTTCCTGCTACTCTACCATTGCCTTGACCATTTAGCCAGCTACGCTACCAGTATCATTTAGTTTGTAACTTGATACCAGGGTTGACTTATTAAAACAACCAATGACATAGCCACCAGTGTGTTAACCTGCATAAATACTTTTTTACTTATGGGATACACCCACCCGTCCCGTAACAATATTTTTAGTAAAATCATTTCTTTGTATCCCTTACCCATTTTCTCAACATTTTGGCTGATGACACTGACCAGATTGCATGGTTATAAAATTTGAAAATTTTATTACCCAAAAACTACTTATTTTAAGTACACAATTTTTTCACAGAGTTTAGTTTGATTATAATATTTTCGAATTCATTGATATTTTCCACTTGTATCACATGTTTTGGAAATTATTCCCGAACGAGATTTCAACGAAACTGAAACATCAGAAGAATACATCCTTATAGTATTCTGTGATATTACATTGAGGATTATATATTTTTTAAAAGGGGATTTATTGTTGTCGCAAAATATTACTAGCTGTGGAAATTTTATCTGTGTGATATTATAATTATTACTGGAATTAACATTATATCGGTGTATAGCCTGCTGGAGAACTGCAATAAGTATCGAATATACCACACTATGAACTTTGGAATTAACATTCATTGGCCGCTTGGATCATTAACTTGAAAATAATCCGGAAGTGTCTGGAATCAACAAACTAATATATTGAATTTTAAATATTTGTTACTAGTATAATATCTGACTGTAAGTTAATATTTTGTATATATACTAAATAAAATTCATTTGTTAAAATTGTTTATTTCGCTCTTTTCCTATTGTAGTACCACCAGATATTAAGACATCCGGTTTTACTGTCATAAATTTTAGCAATAATAAACACTCAGTTGCCTAATAGATAAAGTTAGAGTTCGTTTTGTTAATTTATTCTATTTTGAACTTTTACAGAAGACCAATCTCATACTGCAGTTTATCAAAGCATTCTTCCACGGTTGATGAATATAGTAGGTAGTGAAAAGGACATCAGAGAACGCCAACGACTGTTTCTTCAGCATGATTTAATGATAAACCACGGTGTCGACAGTTCTGCATATATCTCAAGTGGAAGTTTAGCGGAAGGGATAGATTTACCGGGAAGTGATATAGATATAATGATAGTAATGAAAGAATTTCAAATTATCAAAGATAAGCAGCATATAAATCTTCTAACAGAAATCGCTACTTTACTTATGGAAGTTGATGCACAACATCCTGGTTTTTCCAAACTTAAATTGGTGAATGATGGCGGTTGTACAAATGTTTTCCTCAAGAAATGCTTAACATATACTATCCATGGGACCTATTGGTCGAGTACGATGTTGATGTCTGCTTTGACCCAAAAGAATCCTTTTCTGAATTTACACATTCATGGCCCGTGTCTCTCTGATGAGCAGGAAAATCAAGATTTAGCATTCTGCTTACGATCACATCATTGGCCATGTAATGCCGAAGCATGGATTTATAGACATAGATCTGTATCATGGCCTTCCAGTTCATTAATTGAGAAAATTGTCAGCTCTGGCTGTATGTTAGTGCCAATTGGGCCAAAAAATGAAGACAAAAATGAAAACAAAAATGAATTACTATGGAGAGTATCATTTTCTGTTGCAGAAAAGCTTTTGTGTCATTCGTTTAACTACACACAGTTTTTGTGTTACTCTCTTTTGAAATTGGTACTTAAACATTTCATAAATATTTACGACGAGGCCAAAGATTTATTATGTTCTTATTTCTTGAAAACCGCTTTATTTTGGCTTTCGGAGGAAATACCAATGATTCAGTTTCGTTTATCCAACTTCATAAATTGTTTTTTCCTTTGTTTAGATAAACTAGTTTCGTGGATAAAGCTGTGCTACTGTCCGAACTATTTTATTCCCGAACACAACATGTTCATCGGAAAAATTGATCATTCTAATAATTATATTTTGCTCAATATCTTACACAAAATTAAACGCAACACTCTCAGTTTTATTTTCTATCGATATTTGTGGAAAACATTGTCGGCTTCAAGTGTAATGACGGAGTCTTCTGTGAAATTGGATTTCTTGAGTTTCAGACTATTTAGTGAAAGCTGTACATCAAATGTAGATCAAGGCTACAAAACATTACAATTTATAGAAAATTTAGCTATATCAGAGCGATCAAAGCTTTCATTGGGCATGTATGAATATATTAAAGCAGAAATTCATCAGATACTTGCACAAATGGTCCCTTTGCCTTGTCATTCAAAAAAAGACGATGTCTCACGTAAGAGTATTCAAAAACATTTACAGGAAGGTACAAAGACAGATTCAGTGTCGGGATGGGTACTGTATGCCTCATTTTATTATGTTTGCAAACAGTATAAAATAGCATTGCAGATAATTGACCACGTTATGTCACGTTGTACACCTGATGTGGTGGAACTAGGGATTGCTACTTATAACGAAAACCACACGAATGACTACCAACAAAAAACAAGCTGTAGCAATATGACTCTAAATGAAAAAATGAGAATGGCAATCATGAGACATATCAAATATGAAACGTGTTCATCATTGATTCCACAAGAATTTCAAAGTCTTGTTAAAAAAGAACAGATGATTGTTCCACCTCTTATAATGTCACATTGTCTACGTTTTCTTTCTTATTCTCATCTTAACGATGCAAAAAATGCACAAAATACACTTAAAAGTCTACAGCTTACAGTGAAAAATGTTCCAACAAATTGTCGCTCTGTTTCGTTATCAATACTTGGCATATGCAATGAGTTATTGGGCGATAAAAAAATTGCAGAAGATTGCTATGATGAAGCTTTGAGTGGTAATGACAGATGTAGAATTGCTTATCAAAAGAAGGTTGGAATGTCTCCAAATACTAAGGAATTTGTAATAGGAGGCCAATTCATGGAATCAGTGTATGATCCGAGAACAGGAAATACTCAAATATCGATACGTATCCCTATGAGTATGTTGGACGATCCTGGGAGTCCTGATGACAATGGTACGACTACTTATCTGCACATTATCCCATCATTATACCGATGATCTCGGTCAATAGCTACATTTTTTGGTTTGTGTGCGTCTGTGGACTGTAATTACTTTTGGCAGTTGTCCGTCCATGATATGAACGAATACACACAGGCTACTACAGTTCGTACAGTCAATAATAATTTCTTAGTAGTAGAAAACATGCAAAATAACAATCTTTGAAACTGTGCAAATTTAGACTATAGAATTTTACCGATGTTCAAATCAAATAAATCGATTAAGAAAACAAAATCTAGTTAACAATCAGAAACTGGGGGATTTCCATGTTCTCCATAAGCGACACCTGGTGGGTCGACAGGGTAAGCGACTCCTGCTATGCATCCATCACCCATCATGCGAATCCACACTCAGCTAAAATGTCACAATCGAAAATAGGACACAATCGGTAAAATTAAAGGTTAGTCAAATAGTATCTAGTATATAAGATCTAGACAAAAGCGAGACAGTAGTTAACTTATCATCAAATTTCGTAAATCGATTAAAAAGAGACAAATCAAGTTAACAAGCAACAACTGAGGAAATCGCATGGAATTTAAAAGAAACAAGACCGGGTGCGTCGACCGGGCAAGCGTCGTTTGCGATGCATGCATCACCAACCATGCGAAATCACACCGTCAAAATGTCACATTCGGGAATAGGACAAAATCGGTTAAATTACAGATCAGACAACTACATTTGTATACTGGTATCTAAAGATCTAAGACTGTGAAAACATGTCGCTAGTTAGTTGAGACTCCTACAAATCGTATCGGTCAACAAATTCGTGTAAGTCTGTACAATTTGAAAATGCACGAGCGTAACGTATTAACTGAGATGGGTCAATGTTCGCAATTGTTTCTCCATAGGCGGTAATGGTAACGTTTTCTTCTGTTGCTCAGTCCATATCGTTAACTTGGATATGTATAATGGCTCGTTTCGAAGCTGAGACATTTTCACATATGTGGTTAAATTTTCGGGGTACGAAGTGAGATTACTTTTTCCGTAAATTAGCAAACCCCGAAAATCCGTTCGTGATGCGGCTCTTTGTGGTAAAAAATCCCTTTTGAACACAATAAGTTCTTTGAAAATTTAATACTTTGAACACATTTAATAGCTCTATAGTTTTTACACATTTATTCTATGTTCCCCTACTTTCTAAATCAACACAAATGGTTAAGCTCAGTCACTTGTTTATCATAGAAACGTGTCAAATATCACTACACAGAGATTTTTTGTTTACACACAACTTTTTAGTTCCTCATTTTTAGGCGCATTGGGGATATTGACCCAGATATGTAAACACCAAACGATGGAACAGACGGTGTGTTACTGCTAAGAAATGGTTAGATAATTGGAAAGTTGATATCATCACATTTGTCATAGAGTCTAGTTTAAAGTCATCCATCTGTGTCAATATCAAAGAAAAGACAAAAAAATTAAGCAGACCTCCTACATTCGTAAGTATCCTTTATCTCAAGTCCATTGGGATATGCAAAAGAAGACTGCAAATCTTGTCGCTAGTGAGTTGAGACGCACACATATCGTGTCGGTCAATCAATCATGATGATGACAGTAAAACTTATGTTGTGTCGATTTTATTCGTTCTTTTTCATCCTTTTTTGGAGCAGTTTTTGTACGCCCATCAAAGACGGAACGTGTTAAGTCCCCGAGGGTATCATTAGCTAAGTAGTCAGTACTTCGGTACTAACATGATGTATAACAAACTATCTAAAATTGCCCGTTTATAAAATTTTAAATTATACAGAAACTAATGTTTCAACTCCCTCAGGCAAAGTTGGCCTTAGATGGATTTAGCTATTTTTTTTAGGTCCTATTTGGTTTATAGCTCTTCAACGTTTTCGGTCCTTATACATCCTTGGCTTTCAAATATTCCGCTTTGAGCGTTCCTGATGAAGGTAAATCAAGAAAAGCGCTTCGGATGCATGCAATTTATAACGTGTTGTTTTCATTTTTTTTTTAAAGGTATACCATAGTCCATATGTGAGTCCGTCCGTATGTCAACATGTCGTACAAAAATCAAAATAGCAAATTAACCCATTCTCATAAAATTTTATGATAACAGTAATATTGACGGATGAAAGCTAATTTTCACATATCGCATATTCTAACACTCGTTTGTTTTGATCAATTTGCCTAAGATTTAACACTATTGTTGGGATTATTAAAAGAAACACTCTTCGAATTTTGAGTATTTACTAGTTTGTATTTTTATAGTCACAACTGACTGTCAGATTAAAGTTAATTTTTCACATGTACAATAACTTGTATGCTTGGATAGATTTACTTGAAAATTCACACAGTTGTTGGTATTGGTAGAAGTAACGTACTTTTTTTTATTCTAAAATGTCCCTAATTGTTATTCCAACGTAATTGGACTTTAACCTTCAGGTTTGAGGTAATTGTTCACATGTATCGCAGTATAGTTCTAGTATGCTTACATCCACGTCTAGATCTTTGGTGTAAAATGATTATAGCTGTCACCGACTTCATTCAAAGTGGTGTTATATGTGAAAAAAAATATTTTAAAAAAGCGTTATAATGACCGTAACGTCATCGAATTGTGAACCATGAAACTTCGATTTGTGACTTTTTTCACTACCTAGGTAATTATTGGTTAATACACGAAAAACGAAGTCGGTGATCCTATGAATATTCAATTTTAATCAAACGGAAATGTATGTATCATCAACACGTATTTTTTTTAAGAAAAACCTATGGATGTGTAATTTAAGATTTGATGATTTAAAGATCAAATTTAAGAACATTTTTCGCTAATTTTATGTGCTTTTGTACAAATATGCACCTATTTTGAAGAGTTTAGTGAGTTATATTAAAAGTAAAAGTGATAAATGATTTTTTTTTCACAAAATCTGTGAGATAGTTGATTTACTATACCTTTACCTTAACAGTCATATTTAAGGCAATATTTATATGCCTTTGGATATTCTCGTGTAAATTTGTCTAATGGGTCATTTTACTAAATTCTGATTAAAAACCTTTTTAAAAATGTTCAATTTTATTCTTCCAAGACTTTCTACATGCAATAGTAGGGCGTATCTTGCGCTCGCTCCTGGTGCAACTGTTTATTCTACATAAATTGGACTTTGAATAACCAACATATTCAACTGAAGAACATATATGTTCACCGCGTTAAACTTCACGTGGTTTTACATGCATAATTTTGCATAATTTTGCTAAAATGTTTATTGTTTATATTTGTCATTAAATGCATTTTTTTCTCTCTTATGAAAACAATCTGTCCTTTGTTTTAGTACATATGTGGTTAAATTGACTTTTGTAAACTTAATAAAACCGATCATTTACCCATAAAAAAGTCAATGCATATAATTGTAGCATAAAAACTTGACTAGATTTATTATTTTGTTCAGCTTGTGTTTGTCTTTATTAATGTTTAAGATATTTAATAGTTTGAAGTAATTCCACTCATTTGACCATCGTATTCAGTCTATGGGGAAATTGACAGGCCTTTACAAAATAACATGCATGGTATATTTTTTTATGAAATTGATCATTTATAGCCTTCAAATAACGTCATATCTTTTATTGTCTGTTTGCATCCAATCCACTTTTTTTAAATGGATGAACGTGCTCCTTTGAAACGATTTTTACTTGTTTTTGTCCTTTTTTTTGTATAATCAGTTATTTTATTTTTGAATAAGTTTTGAATTTTCAAATATTTTGGCGTTGAGCATCACCGAAGAGACATTTATTGTCAAAATGCGCATCTGGTGCAGTAGAATTGATATCGTTAATGTAATCACAAGTATTGATATTTTTTATTGTTCGATTTTGCGTGTATAGAGTTTTGTCTTTTTGTTCAGCCAAACACGAATCTACGAAATGTAGTGTTTGAAAAATGTTAACTACAGCTTATGTATTTGGACGATATAGAATATCCTTGCAATTTATCTTGCCATTTGAGATCCATTCTGGTGTGCAGTCTGAAGGCTGTCGACGAAAAAGAAAACACATTCTATGCGCGTGACTTAATCTACATGAATATATAGTAAAAAAATTAAGGGTTAATAGAAAAAAAAATGATAACTAAACTTGTGCACAGTGTAATGCATTGAGCCAGGTAGACATTATTTTTCAGAATAGTAAAAAAACCAACTTCAAATTAGAAAACGAGAATGCGGACTTATGATGAAAATATGTAAGTTAAAACAATAAACAAACAAAAAAATATGTCTGACAACAATCAAAGACAACCACTAAAATAACAAGCGTCATAACTGGGGACAGGCACATAAAGAATGTGGCGTGGTTAAACAAGTTTGCAAGTGTTCAACAACCCCCTCCCTTTTTTTATATGGGACAGTAGTATAACAGCACATCCTAAGGAACAAACTATACACATGGAAAGGGATTGAATAATCACATCGAAACGAAGTACAAAACACAAATAGCAAAAAAAAAAGCCAAAAGGAAACGATCTTAGAGTACCCGTAGTTACTGAAAGCTAGTCAAAAGCCAATTAAAATATGTTTTCTCAAATTAAAATATCAATAGATACACACCCAAAAGGTTAAGTGTAAACACGTCATAAATAGAGTGAGGAAAAGACCTTAACCTTGTGTAATGGCAAAATATAAGTATCGACAGAATGTAACTCAATGTTAATACGAATAAAGACAATAGTCAATGATCTTATTATAGTGTTGAATTGATAACTTTTAAGAATAATTTTAATTAAGAGATCAATAAATGTTTATGTATTGTATTTAAATGTACGAGCTCTATAAACAACAACGCCGTAAACATAAATCTGGTATATCACGTTTGTAATAAAGTTTATAAAATATCTCTGTAGTATATTTTTTCTGCATTACAACAAAAGATGAGGAACTATATCTTCCGTCCCTCATCTAGAGGATGCATTAATTACATAAGTGTCCCATACTCATCAAAGATACCAGGTGTACAACTTGTTACGCCAGACGCTCATTTCGACTACACAAGACTCGTCAGTAGCGCTCGAATCAAAACAGTTGGAAGGCCAAATTAAATACAAAGTCGAAAACCATTGAAAACCAAAAATTCCGAAATTTTTTGTCGAATACGGGCATGGCCGTCTATACCTGGGTGTAGATAAATCTGGATGTTTCGAATAATTCAATAAATGTACTGAAATTGACTGTATCATTGATATTTCACGTCAACACAGTATTGCTGACTACTGAAAAAAGTTAGATCACAAAAATACTGAACTCCGAGGAAAATCCAAAATGGAAAGTCCCTAATCAAATGGCAAAATCAAAAGCACAAACACATCAAACGAATGGACAACAACTGTCATATACTTGACTTGGTATAGGCATTTTCTTATGTAGAAAATGGTGGATTGAACCTGGTTTTATAGCGCTAAACCTCTCACTTGTATGAAAGAGGGACGAAAGATACCAGAGGGACTTTCAAACTCATAGATCAAAAACAAACTGACAACGCCATGGTTAAAAATAAAAAGACAAACAGACAAATAATAGTACAGATGACACAACATAGAAAACTAAAGTCTAAGCAACACGAACCCCACCAAAAACTGGGGGTGATCTCAGGTGCTCCGGAAGGGTACGTATATCCTGCTCCACATGTGGCACCCGTCGTGTTGCTTATGTTATTACAAATCCGGTAAATAGTCTAATTCGGTAGGTCACATTCGTGAAAAGGGAAGGGTATTGTAGTTACGACATAAGTAACATATCCGATATCATCTGTGAATCGTTTATTCCATTACGGTCAACCAACTTGTGATGGCGTCCGTAAAATTTACGAAGGGATGATTTCAACTTCACCATTTGGAACTCTTGGTTTAATAGCTTCCTTGTGAGCAGCAATCCTCTATCAAGGAAATCATGATAGGAAATACAAGCCCGGGAATATCGTATCAATTGGGAGATATATACTCCGCATGCAGGCGCTGCTGTATGACAGTCGCATCAAATTCCATTATATTGACAACGATGCGTGAATAAAACAAACAGACATAATAAGTAAAAATGTAAAATAGGGGTACAGCAGTCTCAGTATCAGGTGAAAGTCTCTCAGAACGTCAACCAGCCGTGGCATCGGTCCTGAAGTTATGAAAAATAGTAGTTATTTATGATTCTACCGAAACTTAAAGATCTGCTTTATAGTTGAATCTTTTCCTTAAATTGTATGCAAATGCACGACTTCAAACTAGAAGCTATGAAAAACGTGAAATCTTTATCGTACTACTGACACACACTCGGATTGGCGATTTCAAACTAGAATCTATGACAAACGTGATTATTTCATCGTTCCCATTTCCATTTCTCAGCTATAATATACCTATTTTATGGCATTTTCATATCTCAATTGATACGTTACGCTTGTGCATGTTCACATTATACTAACTTTATTAACAGAGTTGTGCTCCGGACATAAAAATTGATCAGGCAGTGTTATGAGGAAATACAATTGAAATCGAATTGGTTAACAGAAACGATGTTTCTTTGTCTCCAAGTTTTCGCGGTCTTGATCTTTATATGCCAGAATAGTCTGATATGTTACTTTACAGATTGGAGCTCATCGATCCCTTTCGGTTTATATTTTTATATCTATTTGTATGTTCTAAATGGATGAATGAGTTTTAAATTTCGGTAAACTACTTTTGCATCTAATCTACCAATGGTCTACTACACCTCTTTCAAAATTATTATTTCTTGTCATTCGGATATGATATAGATAGGTATGATCATACGTAAAATACAATCGAAACAATACAAATGTTTATAACTGACGCATGTCAGGCGCGATGGTTTTGCTCATTGTTGAAGGCTTACGGCATTGACCTATCATAGTTTATAAAATATGCGTCATCTGGTCCTGGTTGATAGCTGTCTCATTGGCAATCATACCAGATCTTCTTATTTTGAAATAATTTGAATACCTGATTTTAAAATTAACAACATACTCATAATGTTTGGTGGACTTGTATTTAAAGACATTGAGCCTACCCATGAGAAGCAGATGTGTTTTTGCCGGCTTTATTTTTTTATTCTTTTTTCGTATGGGACAGCACTGATGCAGGACTTTCTAAAATATATGGTGTAATGTATGTCATAACTATCATAGATATCATTAAACAAAAAACAAAAACAAAAAACAAAAAATTATTCATTTGCAATTTGTGTTATTGTAAGTTTTATTGCTAAAAAGGGAACTGTAATGATTTCATCGTATATACAGTAACATCTTTAAGTTTTTTTTCATTGAATAGAAATCAAAACGACTTCATAAATCCAATATCAGCATAACATAAGAAGCTATGATTCCGCATCTAATATTTGAACGAAATTAAGACTGAAAATATATTTGAACATGTACTTTATTCTATCAGTATATTTTTTTTTACAGTTCCACCTGCTAGTGTTTCGCTTGTTATATTTAATCAGATGTTGGTTCAAAACCTTTGGTCTCGCAACATTTGTCATCGTTGTAATTGTGTATAATCTAGTCTGTTATATAGGCAGTTTGACGTAAGTGCTCAACTGATATATATATGCTAAAAAATGAGATCATAAATTTTAGTACGATCAATGCTTCAACTTTGCTGATAAAACCGAAGATGAAGACTCGTTCATAAATGAAAGTTGCCCGGGGACACCACAATATGTACAATATGAAATTGCTCCCCAAAGTACACAAAAAAACTTCTCGTTTTCGTTTTATACCTGCATCAAATAAAAGTTCAACTACACATGTTTTGGCTCTCCTGACATGTGATCTTACAGGCGTTCCAGTACTCGTTGTGAAATAATGTTTCAAAGCTTATGTAGAAAAGGCATTTAATAACATTTTTTTGGAATGTGGGAAAGTCTTAGATAACTTGGACTTCTTTCAAAGTCAGTTCGTATCCGTCGACTGTTATGATTTCTATTCTTTGTTTACAAGACTACTACAAAAAGAGAACTTACCATATTTTATTAGATTTTATTTCGATAAATATTGACGTAAATAAATTTGTTGCATTCGTAACATTTACTTTTCAGTAATAAACTTTTTAAGCGATTAGTTTATTGCTTGATATTTTTTTTCTTTTTGGAATGAAAGTGTTGAATTTGGATGAATTTCCAACACAAGGAAATGCATGTACCAAGTCAGGAATATGACAGTTGTGTTCCATTCGTTTGATGTGTTTGAGGTTTTAATTTTGCCATTTGATCAGGGACTTCCCGTTTTGAATTTCCTCAGAGTTCGCTATTTTTGTTATGTTACTTTTTTGGGAAAAGTTTAAAAAGAGAACAAGTCCTAAAGCGACAAACGCTATTGACAATATTTCAATGATACAAAAATTCAAGATATGATTTTTGAAAGGTATGCAGATGATTATGAGGTGTTTAACTTTGAAAAGAAATACTTTGAGTTTGAGAAAAAAAATACTCCCCAGAAACGTTAAAATCACTATCAGAGATTGATATATGTTGGACAATTGTTCCTATTAATGTTTTGTTAAATAAGTACATATTTCTCATGTACTTGAATTTTATTTCTGATTGCATATTTTTTTATAGTGAAACGGAACTGTCAGAGATTTTTTACCCAAGAAATTTTGCAATAGTATATAAACTATTACAGTACACATTTCACTTCACCAGATGTGCATTTCAATATCTTCAGTTATGCCCGATGCCGAAATAATTGAAAATTCAAAACTCATACAAAAATGCGAAACAACAAAAATGATATAACAATCTACGAAAAAGATTTATTTATATTTGTATTAGTAATGGTTTGTTCCTTATATGTTATTGTGACTTCGTTCCTATTTAAGGTTTGCTTGTTCTAAGTAAAAGATGTATTGTGCTGTCAAGTATATGATATTTAATGTCCGGGGGCTCTTGTCTTTTTTTTTAACTCTTCAAAAAATGCTACGTTTTTCTCTTTCTTGAATACTGTAAATTCAGAAATTATTGCGAGGTTTTTATTAATGCGAATAATGTGACTGGGTGAGAATCGCAATGATAAGAACTCGCATTCTTATATCTGATACATATATCTGTATGCAGGTTTATCTGAAATCGCAATTATTAACCTCGCATTTTGTTCATTCTTTAAAAATTGCAATAATAAACGCACGCAATAATTTCTGAATTTACAGTATCACTCACATGTTCAAATTTAATATTTATCATTTTTTATTTTTTTTTATTAACTTCCGTGGTACAATTTGAAGAAGGAATGAATTTCTATTTTTAACGTGTGACACAATTTAGTTCAAATATGGATAACTGGTGTATTATATAGAATTCATAACAGTGTCGACATGGACACATGGAATTAAATGTTATCGTGTCTGTAACTAGCTGTCGACAACAAAGATTTCACGTAATTACAGTTTGCCAGGGGCCTCTCAATGGGGACATACTTATTATCTTTACACATGTCAATTCATAGAATTAAAGATTTTGTATGAAAGTTTATATGAACTTATATAAATTTTGCAATAGATGTATATACTCACAACAAATTTTCTTTTGAAAGAATAAGTATATTCAGAGGTGAAATCATGAAGTAATCGAGAGAAAAAAACGTTAAAAGTTCTGTGACACATTAAAAAAAGTACGAAAAAAATTATTCGTACAAGTTGAAGATGTAGAGTAACGGACCGCCATTAAAATCTTTTTAGTCCTCTGGACTACATACTTTTTTTGACACGGAACAAATTTGAAGTCCCATCGAAGACTTCAACTATCAGATTTTCTTGAACATTTAAATATCATGCAAACAAAAAAGAGTTCATGAAAAATATCGCTCTAGAAGCAATTGATTTCGGTCGTT